CTTTGGTAATTTTATATTGACTGTGGGTTTGGCAAAAGACAAAAAAGAGCAGAGAAGAGGGACAAAGGAGGAGGCGGAGGGGGGGGGGGGGGGGGGGGGGGGGGGGGGGGCATAGATTTTGCAAAGTTTTATTAGATGTATTTATTCATTTTTATGTTCGTATTATTTCAACTCGTGAGTGTGTGTGAGGAGGGGCTGAAATTGATGGGGAGTCATCTAAACTTTTGATCATCGTGTGTCCAAGGTCGTCCTCATGTTTGATTGACACTGAAATATTTTTCACTCAAATAGACGACCACACTTGTTTATTTGATCCAAATGCATGTATGCACACAGTCATCACAGTTTATACATGTATCCCTCAGTCAGTGTAGCAGTTTCTTTCTGGTTTCTTGACAGCTGAGTGTCCCAGGAACTCCTTGAATTTTACTTTTCGTGTCATGCAAAGAAAATACAGCACCCTCAAAACATTGATTCATTAAGTACTTTCACCGTATCCTTTGTTCTTTCTCTAAATTCTTAAATTAAAGGGACTTTTTCTTCCAATAAAAACACAGTGGTGTTAAACTGCCGTAGCCTCTAGCTCTGTGATGTGTTTTATTTCACTTGGTTCGATGGTGCTAATCACTCCCTAAAATAGAATCAGTCCGTCAGAGACACAATCAAACACCACTCCCTCCTAATCAGCAGTGTGTTGGCAGCGAACGTCAAACTCTATTATTTTGTCCTTTCATGCCGGTCTTTTTTCTTCCTTCAGTTTTTCTCTTTCTTTCTTCTTTGACTTATTGACCTCGTTATTTAAATCTGAACATTTATTAATAAGTTTAAAACAATGCAAAAAATCAGTGTGCTTCCACATGATAAGAAACATTTGGAGAGATTTTCTCAACAGATTTTTGATACATGGACCGCTGAAATGTAACAGCCATGTTGCATCTGTGGGTAGTTATTTTGTTTGCTGCAACACTAACACAAAATGTTTCTGAGAGTGTGTAAGTATTTATTAAAAAATCATGGATGTAAGAGAATGACGAGGTCGTGAAACATTTTCATCTGTTACATGTTTTTCATCCATGAAACTGATTTAAATTTCATAGTCCAAACTGCTTCAGAAAGTGTACTTTATAGTAATTTGCTCAGGCAGCTCTATGTTAATGAATCTGTACACTGTTTATTCTTGCAGCAGGAGGTACAACTGTGACGGCTCATGGCAAACAATAGTCCTTTTTCTCACTGTGTGTCACGGCTTTTGTCCTTTGTTAAGTTGTTTGTAATTCAGTTGAGAAGAGGCACTTGTGCAGTGTAGTGACTGAACAGCTTCTCTGCCCACTAATGAATCTGTAGCTGTGTAGTCTTCACAGTCAGCCCTGCTTGCTCTGTTTCACTGTCAGGCAGGGAATCGAAACTCAAGAATGCTCAGCCCCCGATCCCTCAACCTGTTGCTGGTGGATGGGACTTGCAGCAATGTTGCAAATGATGCTGCTGTCTGACTGTGGAGATGTGTGTGCACCACAATTAAAAGTCAAGGTACTCTTCAATTAAATGTCACCTTACTCATCAAAAAAGGAAGCAAAGCTATCGGGAAAATGTCACAGCATCACCGATTGTTGGTGCCACAGTTGACTGAACACTGCTGATGCAAGGCACCCAAAAGTAACCGACCTGCGTCACCCGTTATGGTTTGTTAATGTTACGGTTAGCCGATTGTTTACTCAGTCAACCGTTAACCTAAAGCTCAGTGTATCAAATACCAGCAGAGGCTGCTCAGCCCCTTCATGCCCTGGCCACATCCACAGGTTCACAGGCACCCAGCAGCCACCTCTGATGAATCATCATGCAAATAGACACAAAAAAGCCACACAAAAAAGTGAGTGTAACAAAGCAGGCTGTAGATCATGAGTGGTGGAGGAAACTGTTTACTCTGATGGGAAACTGAGTTGCCAGGCCACAGCTTAACCTCACATCTATGCCTTTACTAATATTCTAAAAAGCTTTTGATGGTTCAGGAGTGATAATTTAACTTCCCTCATGTAAAACAAGTTCAGAATTCAATCTATTTCATAGCCACTAAATGAAAATTGAACACTTAAACACTTAAATCTTATATTCACAGTCTCATAAAGCCTACAACACAAGAAAAAACTGATGATTTTTAGAAAGAAAAACCAATAAAATACAAGATTCTGGTGAGAAAGTATGTACAATTTTATTACAAATATCCACAAACATGCAGAAAACATATAAAAAGCTAATACAAAAGTTGCAGGGTGCCAGTAAAAGATAAAAAACACTGCTTGTTATAAAGAGTGTGCAGATGCCAAGTGAAAGTAACCCATTTCTTGCCTATATTTTTGACCCAGAAATATCAGGTAAGGAAGTACGCACGAGTGGGGCGGCAGTTAGCGTGTCACATATGCATATCTTTGGTGATAAACACACACACACACATTATGACCAAGAAGTGTCTTTGGCGCACGGTATGCATGAATGCTACAAGCTTAGTCACACCTCATGCACCACTGTCTTATCTCGACGTACCAAGGCTTTGTCGGATTACTCACAGCGTCTGAGTGCATCTGAGGCACTTTTCACGTTGACTACACTGCAGTCAGAAAGAGGAAGTTGAAAGCTGGTACATGTGTCCTGAGTCTTGACCCTCTCGCCACACCTCAACAGAGTCTCAAAATGTGTAACACACTATTGAGAAAATAGGCTGCAGTACATGTAAATTATTGCGGGGAAAGAGGAGATATTTTAGCATAAAATGACATAAAGCAGCTTGGTGTGATTTTAACACAAAAAGTGAGACAGTGCGAGTTTTAATTGCTCCCTCAAAGGAAAAACCCCCAAAGACTGACTTCATCTTTTACCCCCTTTATCATACAGAGATGCAGGAATGACTGTCCCCTTTAGCAAGGCATACAATTAAAAAGGTGCAGTCCGCCGCTGTTTGTTAAAGAAATAAATAACCACCTTCCAGTTCTTCCTCTTTTTCGTGCTTGCTCTAAACTACTAAACAGACTGCTGATTAGTCAAAGCCACTGAGCACCATCGTGAACCTGAAGAGATGAGCTGGTTGTACATTTTGATTTCACAGCATAAATGATAAAAGGAGTACTTCCATGTATTCTCAAGCCCTCACTGGCTTTGGGACAAAGTAATAGCTGCATGTATGTATTTTCATGTAAGACATTTTACAAGTTATTGCTCATCTCATAGAGGTAAGGATTTGTATGAAGTAATACCACAGGAAATTAAATGATAATTTGCACTTATGAGGAAGAATAAATACACTAACTGAGCATCAAGCAACTGATTGATCCTAAATCTGATTCCATGTTAAAGGACAGCTCACCCCTAAATTAAAAATACATATTTTCCTTTTACCTGTAGTGCTATTTATCAGTCTACAGTGTTTTGGGTTGAGTTGAGTTTTGGAGATATCGGCCACAGAGATGTCTGCTCTCTCAAAAATAATGAAACACACTCAGCTTGTTGTGATCAGAGTGCCAAAAAAAAAATTACATTTGAAAAACTCAACAGCAATGGGCCTCATGCAAGAAACAAGATAGGAACAAATTTTCTCTTATTTTGTTTGTAACTATTGAATTCTGGGGTTCATCAGTGTTTTCTTAGTTTTGCTCTTCTCTTATGTAAGAGAAAATTTTACAAGCGGGCAAGATCACTCTTACCAAGATTAGAGTAAACATCTTGTTTGAACAGTCCACATATTGTCGCTCAACAAGAGGACACATAAGTTTTAAATTAGGGGACATTTAAATATGCACAAGATTATGTTTTAGAGTCATTATAATGATTGGATTATTAAATTTGTGGTCTTAACAAATCCTACTATAGTTGGTCCATTAATTGTATTTACTGTAACTGCAGTTACTGTGCGTCCCTCTGCTGATCAGTGGTGAAATGTAATTTAAGTACTGTACTAAAGTACATATCTGACGTCATTTTATTTTAATCTCATGCCGCTTTCTACTTCTACTCCGGTACACTTCAGCAGGAAATACTGTTTTAACTCCACTACATAAATTCAGATATTTGCACACAAAACATAAGAAAAAAAAAATACAAGTGCAACAATTAGTCAGTATGAAAAAATGCTGGTTCCAGCTTTTTAAAATATGAGGACTTGCTGCTTTTCCTTTTAATTTGTTTAATTATTCTTATTTATTAAATTGATATTAAATTGATTTTAATTTTCCTGCATCACGTAGTTTTACTTTTGATACATAAATACAGTTTCTGGATTGTACTGACATACTTTTACTTGCATAGACTTGCGTACATTTTCTATGCAGGACTTTTACTAGTAACAGTGTTTTCACAGTGTGGTAATAGTACTTTTACTTAAGTGAAGGGTCTAAATACGTCCTCCACTACTGCTACTGTCATGGCAAATGCTTCTGTCACACCAGTACTGACACAATCACAATTACTTTAAGTCTGTTTAACTGCCCTTATATACTGTTTAGGGAGCATTACCTATGCTAATATATGACTTATGATTAAGAAGGATTCATCATTAAGCACACCTGGTTAAGAGCAGATTTGGGATGGTTAAGATCCTTTCGTGCATCTGGAGCTGACCTCTCTTATTTTAACTCTTAACAGAAAATTAAGAGAAATTTTAGAGAATGTTGCTGCATGAGACACAATGTTTTTTTCCAAATATCATGACCCATTTACTCAAGATAATCCACAGACCTTGATGTGAGCAGTTTCATGAACTACATGACCTATATCTGCCATCTGTATCATCACGCAGAACACAGGGTGCCTCTACTCATAGCTGAGAGGTGGTGCTTGTGACGGTGCAAGGTGTAAACAGTAATGGCATCCTCCTCGGCTGAGCTGTAACCAGGTCATGATTTTTCTGGTAAGACACATTGCTGTTGAGTTTTCAAATGCATTTTGGGTGGTTTGAGCACCGCAAGCCGAGTGCCATCTAGTTCCATTATACTGAAGAGACGGCAGACATCTCTGCAGCTGATATCTACAATACTTGGCAAGTCACGCCAAAACAATCTAGACTGATAAACAACACTACAAGTAAGAGGAAAAAATGCAATCGATCCTGTCCTTCGGGGCCTGATCTCTTAGCCTGCTCACTGGTGTACATCTACGTGTAAACAGTCCAAATGTTTTGAACAAAGTAAAAACATAGTAAACTGGACATAAAAATACAAAAGGCCTCTTCTTTATGGGTTGTGCAACAGTCAGCAGCAGCAAGCATGTAAAACGGGAGATGTCTTCATGATCTCAGATGAGTTAACCTGAATGCTTTTTAGCTGTCCTGGCAAATAAAAAAAACAAACAAACAAAAAACAAGGAAAGGCATTGTCGCTATATCAAGTCTATTTAGCATGATAAAATACTGTAATTTGTATTGTCACATATATTTTGTTTGTATGGCTTCATCCACTTTAAGGCCACCTATGCTTTGGCAGGTCTGTGCATTTTTTCATGTTGTAACATCAAGTAAACAAAAAAAAAAAAAAAAAATCAGTGGAGCTGTAATTTATATATACATATATATATGGGAGAAAAATGTGTCAAAAGTCTTAATATATATATAGTATATGCATTGTATTGGCTTATTAAAATCACCTTACGTTTTTATTCTGGGTAAATCTGTTATTTCCAGGCTCAGTTCACATTTGTCCAAGTCTCCATTCTGGTCCTCGGTGTCTCGGCCCCAGAACTGTCTCTCTGCGCTGTCAATATGGTTTCCCACATCATAACCATTTCTCTCATCCTGCACTCCGTTCTCTCCTGGAGGTCCTCGGATGGGGCTGCCTCTCAGCTCCTCTGCTGCTCCTGACAAACTCGCATGTGCCTCTTCCATATGACCATCACTAACTCCTGCCTCTTTATCCTCCTCCTCTTCCTCCTCCTCCTCCTCCTTGAGGGCCTCTGCAGCTCCATCCAGACTGGAATCGCTGAGGAAGGAGTGCGCAGTTTGAGTATCCTCCATGGACAGAGGGGTCTCGTCGGCGAGGCGGCCCCCGAGATTGCTGCCCACCCCTGGGGTGAGAGGCATCTCCTCCTGGTCTTGGTCTGGATCCTGGTCTTTGCTGCAGTAGGCGTAGCGGTGGTTCATGTGCTGGGAGTACGAGCCGGAGTGAGAGAAGCGCTTGCCGCACTTGTCACATTGGTAGGGTTTCTCTCCAGAGTGCAGCCGGCTGTGCTCAATCAGGTGGTGCTTATGCTTGAAGGCCTTGTTGCAGATCTTGCATTCATGAGGACGCTTACCTGTAATGGAGACAGAGAAATGTATTCTTTTATTCTACAAAAAAATGTACCCACTTTAAATAGAAAGACATTATCATAAACATTTGGGGGCCGGGGAAACAGCTGGTCTGGCTCTTTTCAAAGGAAATAAAATCTACCAACATCTCACAGCAAGAAACCACATAGGCATGTTTCCCACGCTGGTTTTTTAAGTCCCCTTCTGGAAAGGTTTTAAAGTATGTGCTAATATTTTGTTTAGCATACATAAAAGGGGCAATAAGCAGATCTACTTTTTCTACCATAATGAGAGATTCTGGACCTGGCCTCCACCCAGCCCACCACTGCTCCTTATCACCTTTACTTTCCACTTTCTCAAGTGCTGCTTGCACTAGGTTGACACATGAAAGAGTAGTGTGCAGTTGGCTAGCGTAACTTTAGAGAAAACATCAGAGAGATTCAGCCATACATGTGTAGTTAGCATCTTTTATTTGTTTATGCTGCTTGTTAGCTTGTAGGCTAACTGGCAGTGGTTGGCACAGCGTTAATGGTTGTGAAACATACAATAATATCTGCTACAAAGGGGTTTTTAATAGATAGTGGACAGAAGCTCCAGGGTCTGGTTTACATCCAAAAACTGCACACTACTATGTTTCCTGTCAAAACTTTCACTATGCTAACTCTGTTCTCTGTACTGACAAGTCCGCTCTACCCAGGAGGTTTCAGGTTTCTTTGCTGGTCTTGCAGTGAAACCTGTTCCTCTGTCGATTTTTTGTTTCCTGTATTAAACAGCTATTTGCTTTCGAATAAGTGACGCACTTAATCTAGCTTGCCAAGCGTATGTTTGAATCTAAGATTTTAAGGAAGTGCACAGACATCGACACTTTAAGTATAGGAATGTGAAAACACCTCTCTGGTGACAGACTTTACACAGACACAAGTCAGTGTAGTTAGAGTCAGACATTTTAGGGGACATAAACAGAAGAAAAATACATTTTTACTAAAGGAAATGGCACATGAGTGAAGTGCTTTTGTAAAAGCTACAAACCTGTGTGCTCGTATTTGTGTCGAAGCAGAGAGCTGCTCTTCTGAAAGGTTTTTTCACAAATGTCACAAGCGTAAAGCCCCTCGTCTGTCTTCTTCAGTCTTTTCCTCCCTGGTCCTCCGTCTCCCTCCAGTCCTTCATCCATGAGAGAGAGGTAGTCCAGAGCTCCACGGCTTAACACTTCACCCTACGGAGAAAACATGAAAATGTGTATCAGGATACAGTTTTCATGTACTTATAGTACTGCTTCTGCACCAGTTTTGAGGTTGTTTATCAGCAACTACACATAATTCTTTAAAATAAAAACCTGAAGGAGAAGCCTTACTCACCATGAGAGCTTGTCTCTCCTGGTGAATCTTTTTCAGTGTTGCCTCTGCATCTGCATCCATCATGTAAGCCATAGGGGAGAGAAACCCTGGGCCGTTAGCTGGCTGGCCGAATGGAATCCCTGCAATGCCGTCATGTGCTGAAAGCCCTAAACCAGACTGGTTGAAGATAGGAAATCCATTATATAAGGACCCTGGAAACATTGGAGCTCCGGCCCCGCTGTAGACTGGGTGGTGGTGAAGGGGCAGATGTGAAGTTGGACTTGGTCTGCTGAGCTGCTGGGTCCTCTCTCCTCTAGCTGAGTTGCCGTTGACAGTTTTGTTCCTCCCCTCTTGGTCTGAGAGCTGCTTGGGCAGAGAGAGGTCCAGAGGTTCGTTCTGTGCAGACCAGGGGTTTCCGGTCTGGTTCTGAGGGGAGGACAGTTCAGGAGGACAGCTGGTGAGGTCGAGGCAGACTGGAGAACCAAACCCTGAAGAGGGAACCCTTCGTCTGACTCGAGGTGATGACAGCTCTGGGGAGTGGCTGACTGGTTGGCTTGGGCTTCCCTTTTCCTGGCTGGACCAGAAGGCTCGTGAGGACAAGGCGTCATGGTGGGGCTGTGGGGGAGAGTGCATTGCCACCAAAAGCTGCTGCGGAACAGAGTGCCAGCTGGGCTTCTGCAGTGGTGATTTGTTTTCAGACAGGCCGTTGGTTAATTCACTCGGTTTGCTGTTCTCTGGTTGGAGAGCAGATCTGGGGAAGAATAAAGGTGGTGAGGGGTGGTCTTTGCTGCGAAGACCCTCGGGCACCTCCACTGCCTCTCGGTTCATCTTACAGAGGTAGCGCTCATGCTGCAGGAGCACTGCCACATTGGGGAAAAGCTGGGAGCACCAGCGACACGTCACCCCAAGCACACCTCTCTCCCCTTCACCTGACCTCACCGCCTCTCTTCTCCTGTCAGGCGACACCTTCCTGTCAGGGCCTCCTCCGTTGTAAATCACCCTCCTTTCCTCAATTGCAGCTCCTCCTCTGTCCATCTCCTCATCTTTCTTCACCTCCCTGTGAAGCATCTCCTGCAGCATCTGTTCAAACTTGGTCCCAGAGTGCAGATAAGGCAGCAGGGTGGTCCCTTTCAGTATACTGGCCCTCAGAGAGAGCTCTGCCGAGGGGTCCCAGAGCCGAGCCAGGTCGGACGCTCTGGGGAAGCCTGTTGGGTTGTGGTTCGGGTCCTGCAGTGAAAGCTGCTGAGGATCCTCTGCTGTGCGACCATGAGGCCCGGTATGATTTTGGGTTTGTGAAGCCAACGGAGAGCCCTTGTCAATACTATGTCTCCCCCCGCCTGCAGAGGGAGATGTTGGAAATGAGTGGTGGTAGGAGCTTTGGCTATGTCCATTAAAAGCACCACTGGTTCCTCCTGCGTTTCCATTTCCTCCATTTCCTCCACCACTCAGGCACTTTTTGCTGCTTAGGTGGGAGCTGTAGGAGCCAGAGTGAGAGAAACGTTTCTTGCAGTTGGAGCACTCGTAAGGTTTCTCACCTATAGGGTGACATGCACATGGGATACATTAGTCAAAAGATGGTGAGAGTAGGTTGATAATACAGTCAACATTTTTTCATAACGGTCTTATTGTGGATTATTTTAACTTGTTTATTGTCAACAAAATACATTTGGTATAATTTCATAGTGGTATGATAAGTATGGGTTAGTGATGCAGTGGAAACAATAGCAAATTGCTGGGTGAGTATAAATGTTTTGATGTTATTTTGTCTCACCGCTGTGGATGCGGAGATGCTCTTTGAGGTGGTGTTTGTACTTGAACGCTTTCCCACACTGCAGACATTTGAACTTCCTGGTCTCAATGCTAGGATCCAAACTCATGACACCCTTGGATAACAGGACATTGCTATTAATTCTTTTGTTGCAACACATTTAGGGATGAATTTCAGGGTGTGAAGGTGTTTGGACGATTTGGCTCATTGCAGTTTAAAGTTTCTCCTACTGTCCATGTGTACCTCACCTTGTCCTGCACTTGGTTGTGAAGTGCCAGGTGCCGCTCCATTTGTGCCCTAAGGGTGGCAGTGTATCCACAGAGCGGACAGACCATGTGGCCCCCCTCCCTGTCCTGACAGTACTTGATGTGGTCCCTCAAAGGGGCTCCTCGCTGATACATCCTGTGGCAGAATGGACAGGCCTGCTGGGCCCTCCCTGTGTCTAGAGTCCAGAGGGAGATGTGATGTTTTAAACAGACCATGGAAAACTTCACATATTTATTAAATATATCCGTCCATTTTCTAAACCGCAGGGGCTGGAGCCTGTCCCAGCATGCATCAAGCAAGATATCAAATTATCTTCGCTTACTATTTGTAGGTACGGACAAGAAAGTCTTAATTAAGTGTGCTGCATATTTGCTTTAATATACTGGAACAGGACCGTGTTGTAATTGTGCTGACAGAGTTATGTTGTAAATGGGATATTGTTTAAACTTAATGTTTTATGTGACTGAGTAAAGGTATTTTATATCTTTTTTTATGTTATCTAACTCAATAAACAATTAAACCATGACACAACCTTTTATATAAACTTGTTATATTTAATATTAAAAGTTGAGCCACAAGCAAAATATTCTAAATGTGGGACAACATCATACTGTTACATGAATGACTTGAATACTTGAACATGTATGTGTGAATGCATTGTCGTGTCAAACCCTGACGAAACCCCTTTGTTTTAGCACCAGCGGCTGATAAGCTGATGTGTGAAAAGCCTTTTCCTTCCCATTTTCTCAGAATAACATTACCATAAATAATCTGATTTGTGCTGTATCACTGCTGTATAACTGTCAGCCTGCAGCTGAGCAGCTGAGCAGCTCATCATTCTAACAACACACTGCCTAGATCAAGAGCAGTCATTTCAGATTTGCTGATTTTCTATTTAGTATCATTGCAGCTGCTCCCTCGCCAGTTTACCTGCTCCCTCAAGTGAGCGGTGCTGAGCTCCCGGTGACCAGATGGCAGGTGGCAACTCGTCATGCCTGCTGCTTGGGTGGTACATCGCTGCTGTGCCATTGTGGTTCAGGTGGTCCAAGAGGCTGGTTGACGTAGAGGCCTTCCTCAACTGGGCCAGAAATTCATAGTGGGCCAGGTCCTCCAAGGCATTCTGGGAGTCTGAGTTCTTACCTGGGGACAGAAAAGAAGATGCAGAGGAACTTTAATGTCCATAAATGGAAGGAGGTTTGTTCCTACATCAAAGAAATACTTCACCCTAAAAAACCTTAGACAGTGGAGTCTGGCTTTGAAGAGAGCACAGATAAGTTTCACTTTCAGCTCAGTTTTAAATAACGAGGTTTTAGCTCAAATGCATGTGTTTGGGAAGTACTGAGCATTCCACTGGATAAATGAAAATTGGATTATACACAACACAGCATGACTAACTGATTTACAAATGCTCATTTTGTGGGTGAAATATTACTTTAAACTGTTGAACAGTGTCTGGAACTTTGAAAAATATTGTACATGATTCTAATACATGCACACACTCTGCTTTATTGGTGAGATTTGCAGGTAAATATTCATATTAGATTATTTTTTCTCACTGAAATAAAAATCCAGGCCAAGCGGGCCATGTTATGACACTGAATTCAATACAAAAATAGGCTGAGAAATGTGTCATTCACTGCGCAAAAGACCACAAACAATTCTGCTGATTAATATATGGCAGTCTTATGTAACCTCTCCTAGAACTGATTCACCTACTGGCCTTTTTAACTTAACATTTTCAAAGTTGGTCAGTGTTCTCGTCAGTGGTTGCATCAGTGCAGTTGAACCATTTTCATGTCATCTGTGTTAAAGTCTTGAGAAGGTGTTTGCTCTCTGACTCTGTGTGACTGCACACGTCTTGTTCATATATCCATGTGTGCAGAGGGAGCGGGGATACGGTGACACTGTGCAACTGAATCTAATGGAACTAAATTGTTAGGTTTAAGTCTGACAGATAAAACAATGTATTCAGGGAGTTATTTGGCCAGATATGAAACTAGATGGAAGAATTATTTGTCATTTGTGTCCTTGAGTGCAGTGACAGACAGACAGACAGATAGAAAGAGAGAGAGAAAGCCACGTGAAGAAGAGAGGGCGCCTCCTATCATGAATCAAGCCAGTCAGCTTACAGCGACTTTGAGGAAGATTTTTCAAATGTTTGCAGATGTTGGCATATTTTGAGCTGTTTTTTTATGTGGTGAAGGGAAGAGCCTGTGTGGCTGAGTGTTGTAAAAACTCAGCTTTGCCTTCATCAGGCAAGGCCAAATCACACGAGGCGAGGGAGCTAAGTGATTGTTAGTAGGCAAGCCGCGTGAGCCTTTGATCTCTCCTAAATAAAAGGGAAAGCCTCGCGTCGGGCAGTGCTGATTTCAGTACCGTAACGTCACCTCTTTGATGCATGGAAATATTGTGACATTGTGTGGGATGAGTTCTTTTGTCATGCTTTCAGAGGGCTGCCTTTTCAAAGAGAAGAGTGAAAAAAAGGAACAGCTTGTAGGGAAGGCATGGTTTCACAAGGAGCTGATATGAAGGTGTATACAGAGGGCTCTGAGAGGCATCGTGAGACTGGCGGCGTCTTGCATCAGAAAAACACTGTAAACTTGTTTACACATACAGTGGTGTCCTACACAGCGGTCTCATACAGTATATAGATCAAATTTCACATAGTTTTGCTACTTTCTTGGCGGGACTTCATTCTTCTGAAACAACTGCAGGGGTATTTTAGAGTTCAGAAAATAACTTTTCTTTTTACAACAAAACAGTACAATGCTTTAGTTTGGAACTTACAGTACATCCTCAATGGCTCTTGGTCTCCCTCCCTGTCAGTGGCGGATGCAGTGGTGGCGTCGTCTGCACCCTCAGCCTCCTGTTCCACCTGTGGCCAGTAGTTCCTGCTGCCGGGGCTGAGGCTGTGCGGTCGCGTAGAGCGAGCAGGGCTGCCAGGCTCCTCCGTGCCCTCACTAGGCGTCAGGCTCGTCTTGTCCAGGCTCTCCTGGCAGTCCTGCGGCTCCAGGCTCCACAGGCCCACCTCATCCTCCCCCTCAGATCCCAGTGTACTTACTTGCTCAGCATCAACTGTGAGAAAGAGAGACAAACGACCCTGGATCAGACTGACAAGTCCTGTTAAAATGCTATGCAGCAAACAGACGGTACGCTCATTAATGATGCGCGATATGTATTTTCAAATATGTTAAAAATCTAATAAACATGTCTTTTATCTCATTCAGTGAGTTGCTAATATTGTTTTGTGGCATCTAAATATATATTCATTATTTTCCAACATAAACAAAAGGCAACAGGCAAATGAGTTTCTTATCAATTCAGCCATAAATTATGATCAAAACTAACCAGTAACAATGCTAATTATAATTTAAAAAAATATCAGGAACTGAACTGCTTTCAGTTCCTGATATTTTTGAAATTATAATTAGGGGGAAAAACACAACCAGAAATTCAAACATGTTTCATAAATTCTAAACTATATCAAACATGTTGCTTGAGATTAAAGCCGAACAGCAGTATTATTATTTGTTTAATTTTTGTTTCTGTGCTCTCTCTGTGAGCAGGAGGAAAGAAATTGTCTTCGTGTGAGGTTGTTAAATGTGTTTCTTATCATGACATATTTAAAATGGCTTTGTGTGGTTTGATGTGTGGATTAAGATCAATACAAGAATACATGCTCAGCATGCAACATACACATTTGTGCAAACGAGATCCAGAGCTGCTGAAGAAAGGCCCTAACTAGAAATTATGATATTTCAACTGTGTCACTGAGCCATCATCATAATATAAAACTTCAGACACCATAATATCAAATGATAATAGTCATTTCTCATCAATTTCAGTGTAATTTCCAAAGAGATGGTTTTACTCTGACGGTACTGAGAGTGCAGTGTGGCTTTCATTTTAAAACTGAAAAAGACTTTTAAATAAATTAAATAAAAATATATGTATTCAGTTAAGGTCATGGCTTACATAAGAGAAGTTTACAGAAGTGTTATCTTAGGGATCAAAGTTAAATCTAGTAAAATACATCTTATTTTAATGTTGGTATTAATCACTGTAATTACAGTGTTTACTGTTTGTCAAATAGAAGATTTGTCATTTTTCTAATCAATGTTAAAATGTTATCTTGAACTGAAACTCTCTTAAAAAACAATTTGTGCAATTGTAAAAAAAAAAAAACTGTTTTTATGTCCAAGTTATTCTCATATTTTCGTATGTGATTTGTGATGCAGCGGGGACACAGAGCGGCAGCAAGAAGAAAAGATACATAACATGCTGTAATTTATAAGTGTACCCTCGGTACCCAGACTGCAGCACAACTGGAAAGGCGCATTACTTTTTCCCATGGCAAAGACAATAAATGACAATCACAAACACATGCCTGGGATTTCAGCTGTAGGCTCTTATTTCCAAGGCTTTTTTTGAGGACTCTCTGTTTTCCTCTCACTGATTGGCAATATCTAATCACAACCAAGTAATGACCATTTAAGAACACACATAGACTCTCTGCCAGTGACTCTGAAATACATCATTGGAGAAAGCCAAATCATTGTCGAGGGAGGGGGGGGACACACGGACTGTGCCAACACACAGAGGGCCGATTCTTCTTTTTTGTGTTGTCATGAAAATAAGGTTTCTGATGAGCATCTGATGAAGATCAAAATACGACGCTGTCATGGTCCTTATTAGTTTTAAATAAATTTTTCCCTTTGGCCTCTTCTCATCAGAGTGAAAATAAAGTTTCACAGCTCATTAAATAAATAGAAAAAAACATAAACAAAGTTTATTCATTAAACTGTCAAAACAACACTCAGTCACTCTAAAAAGATTTTTGTGTGAGCCGTTCCAAATACACCCTTACTGGCTGGTGGACGCAATAATTGATGAGTATTTTGCTTTCGACACACACTCAGTTACGACCCGCAGCTCGCTGTGACAAAGGCCAGAGACAGTTCTACATCGGCGGAGATGTTTCAGCAAATCTATGTTGTCAACTTTACATCTCCGAGACGCACACACAGATAACACACACACTCACTCCGTTACTGAAAGAGCAAAAGGGGGCCCAGCGCTGCCGAGAAGGGGGCAGCCCACAAACACAACTAAAACACTTCATGTACACACATTCTTCCAGTGAATATATTATCTAACCTTAAAATTCAACACCTACACGCATATCTGTTTGTATCATCTAGTTGCAAGTCCTTCCCCAGCTTCATTACACCTCTGTAAAAGTAAGCTCATGCAAAACTCTGATTCACCCAAGGCCAGTAATCTGAGCCTCTGCTCCATGCTGCTCTACCAACATGGGGAGGAATGACTTGCTGTTATGGGGGGTGAAATTGGTCATCAAATGTGTTTCCCTACAGCAGACAGCTATGAAGTTATATGATGTAGTTGAGGTCGACCTATCAGCCCTGTAGGAGTTTCCTGGGATGATAGGACGTACCGCTGGGCCCAAAAAGAGAAAAATCTGGTCCGGATCAGCATTAAATTGGCTCTAATTTTCTCTCCCATGACAGTGAGTGACACTGAGCCTATATGTGCTGTCATTAAAGCAGCATCGCGCTGGGATGGCTTTCATTATCGGGCCCGTTGATTTATTTATTTGGATAGAGGTTGCATCCTTCAAATTGGTCTTTTTTTTCTGTTGAAGCAGGACAACTAAATCTTTGAACGGCACAGGAGGTTTTTTTTTGGGGGGGGGGGGGGGGGGGGGGGAGAAGAAGAGAGGGGGGGAGTATTGTTTTAGTTTATTTTTTGTAGGGGGGAAAGGGGGGGGGGGGGGGGGGGGGGGGGGACTGCAAGCAAATAGAGATGGCATGTCTAGGTACAAAGGAGTTATGAATTCATGCAATGTGCAAGAGTTTTATGAATGTATAATTTGTTGGAAGATGCTGAACATGAAATAACACACAGCACAACTCAGTAGAAAACAGTACATTGCTGTTGTGCATGCACTGTAGTGTGCGTGGGAAGAACGTGACTCATATCCAGAGAGTGCTAACCAAACTGTGCTGCATCATGCTTGACAATGTCGATCACTTGGTCTTCTGGGGACTGTTTCTGATGGTTTGACAACAACAGTGTGTTCAGATCAAACACTGCAGCACTATTTTAATCCATCTGCCGCTTTCCCTGCCTGACAGTGACTGAACATCTGAGAGATTGACGGCCTGCCTGCCAGAAAGCAGTCTGCTTGGGACACCAGAGTTTCATCCTGAGAAAACAAATCGCTGCTCTTGTTATCTTGAGGCTTGTGATCCATCTTGAATCAGATCTGAGGACTAAAAAAATGATGATCTGCAGTCTTCTTATTTTTTACATAGTTTAGTCAGTCTTCCAAAGCCTGCAGACAGAGACAGATAACGCCTGAACACAGTCAGAAGCACACATGTGCGTGACATGGGAAGAAAAAATCTTTACACAACCACAGCAAAACACAAACCGCAACTAAAAAAAAAGTAACATAAGATAAAGACAAAAAAAATCAACATTTCTTTTGCACTGGCTCACAGCAGTACAGAGAGTTTCAGTGCTGGTCTAATTCTGCACTGTTTATATCCCAGAGGGCATCTACTGTACAGCAACACGCTAAGCTGCAGTTTATTTTACGACGCACACATGTGATCTGGTATTGACTTAGTAATTATGTGGCTAAATGGTAAGCACGGAATAATTACCTAGAAATTACCTTGTTTGTTTCTCTTGGTTTTAAAGGCAACAAACAAGGCCAGGCCCAATTTACCACGCAATGTAATCGTTACCGTTCTGCTGATTCTTACAATTCAAGAACGGTACATAAAAGCCAGGATAATGGCAATAAAATGTTATCAGTGCTATTTAATTAATTTTCTTGAGATAAAAACAACCTAATAATCAACTTTTTCTTGCACATATCAGTATAAAACATTTTGGTAACATGCAAAAAAAACATTTTGAGCAACTCTCAAACTGAGCACAAATAGCAGCATTTCAGATATGGTTGTTTACTGTGTTAGAAATACTTTGTGTCTGAATTATGTGTCATAAAAGTGCAGTTTTTGTTATATACGCAAAATCAGAACCACGCACCATATGCATACCATTAACGTTAACTTTAAATATACATAGGAAATAAAATCAAGCAGGGTACATATTTTAAAGTTCTGAGTTTAGTTTAACAATTTAAATATGCTTTTTTACAGTTGTCTCTTTTATTGTCTTGTGCCATTGTTTTTTAAAAGTTCACATCACATCACTTTTCAAACTGATACATCAGCAAAGAGTTATCCTGCTACACAAAATAAATTAAATCCACAAAGCTCTTCATATGACATAATATAGCCGTAATGTTGGTGGTAAAACAGTCATAAGCAAGAAGAGATACAACTGAGTAAACTGAGGCATATTAAGAAACACACTGGTGAAACATATTTTTTTGTAACAACTCTTTTTGATAAAAAATATAAAATATAATAAAAATATTATTTAGAAATTGTTTGGTTTCAGTTAATGTATGATATAATGCTCCTTCCATGCGGCTCAAGCTGTCATGGTTTCACAGGTGTCAAAGAAAGTCAACACTTGCTATTTTGAACTAAATAAATTACCATGAGGGTCACAGATGCCCACACGCCAAACAAAAAGCAAACACAGGAAGATGTGTGTATTGTCATTTTTACAGTACCTACGAGAGCACTTCAGAGACGAGGTAAATCCATATTCATTTGCAGAATGTGCTCGCGCTGACAACGATGACCCATCTTTAAATATATCGCAGAAATCCAACATGCCATTTAAAAAACTCTCACTGTGAGAGCTCCCCTATTCATACCTGCTCTCTGACATTTGTACAATGAGTCAGAGGAGGACCGCAACCAAGAACAAACACCTCCCACCTGATCTTCTCAATCGTAGCAGCGACTCACACTCTCTCTGTCTCTCAGGGTGATGGTTCCTTCTGACTTAGGCACCTTGGCCTGCTCTGGTTTGGTTTGGTCTGACCTACCCTGACAACACTGAGAGGAGGAAAAGCACAACTGATGCCTGTGTGCCAATTATGTTTCATCTAACTGTGTTATTGCACA